AGGAACACATCCAAGATCCTCACACTCTTTTTATCACTATGTTCTGACATATTGTGAAGAAAATCCTGCTCCAAACCTTTTATGTGGCTAATTTATTAAAGGTGGATTTGATTTCTGTACTTGTTCTTAAAGTTAAAGAGGGCCAAACATGGTATCAGCACTTAATGAAAGAACAATTTCAGGTGCAACTCATTTTTGGTTAAGTTGACCGGAAATATTCAAATCCAGCGTTTCTTCAATCTGGCCTTTATATAGGAGTATCCTGAAGAAATCTATTGTTTAAGAAAGTAAGAATATTGGCCATGTAGGACACATGGAAACCATGTGGAAAAAGGTATCCTAGACATAAGAGACAGAAAATAAAATTGGATTAAATGCAAGACTCTAAACTTGTCCATAAAAAAAAATGGTAGCAGCATCAAGATGCAGTGATGCTTTAGGAGAGAAATACAGGACAATTCATTGGAAAAGAGCAAAAAAATGAAAGGAATATAACACTGAAGACCTTTCACGGCAGTCCATCCGTACATACACCCATCGGTCCGTAGATCCATCCATCCATACCAGAATTAATTTCGTCAACTTCTTTTTCATTTAGTCTTGGTTTTAGTCACAATGACTGAAATCAATTTTAGCCTTAGTCAAATTTTTGTAATTTTAGTCAACACTGTAAATAATAGAACTTCTCCACACACTGCTTCTCTTTTTCTCTATTTTATTTATATAACCCTGTGCAGAATAGAACTTCTCCACACACTGATTCTCTTTTTAACATATATCTCACTGTACACATTGAACCTTTTGTTGGCTTGTTTCATCATATCCCCAAAGTCTTCATGGTCAATGGTCCTTGTATGCAGGCTAGAACGCCCAATCCACTTGCCGTCGTGTTCTCCAGGGCTTTCTGCTCTTTGACATCTTTGACATTGGGGGTGCGTTGGGGGTGCTCCCAACATCTCTGCAACAGACCTCCCTTCTTTCTACCATGTCTGATTTGGCTGTGGTGTCACTGTGTCAGGTATCTAGTTCTAGTTGACCCACCCGTTTCTACTACTACTACAGGCCCATCCG